CTCTCTGGAGGCGCTCAGATTCTCGAAAAACTTCCGTTCGTGAAGCAAGCCGACGGTACCGAAACTTTAGATTTCGAGGCGTAAGGTTCTGCCCATCTCAACGACTCATAGGAAGCTCATCCACGTCCGTAGATACACTATGAGCTTATTGAACGGGTAGAGGCAACTTCGGGCACAGACGGTAGCAATAAGAGCAGCGACATTTTCATGAATAGGACTATCAGATTCACCTGCATGCACATAGCAGCTGATGAGCTTGTAGCTATCTCAGTCGGCTCTATTGTGTTTGATCAAATACCTGGTGTGAATGCCTGGCTTGGGAGCTGAAGCAGAGGTTTTTGTTGACCAGTGACGAGTCCACTCGAGAAAGGCTCAGCCTGAGGATAGTTCAATGGAGAGGCGCGAGTGATAGGTTTCGATGGATCTGGGGTCGGCTTGGCGAGTCAGGCTTGGTTGTCACCCACCTCTACCACACGACGGGAGTTATGAGGCTGGTCAATAAGCCCCGGCGATGTAGCGTAGCAAGTACGACTGCTGAATCATACATTGTGTGATTCTACCGTCGACATTCCTGTTTGCTCACCATATGCACACTTATTCATCATGCGCATTTTCTGAGTACACCCTCTTGAGACTGGCGATTGACCTTCCACAACGGAATCATTCTACCTCGAATGAAGAAGTATAGATGATTCGTACGAGCATCTCACAATCAGCCAGATAACAAGCATATGTCGTAGTCGGAACCTTTTGGCCGAAATTTTCTAGACTTTACAGTTATTTTATCGCCAAACTTAACGTAGTCTTAACATAACTGGTCATAAACGCAGTTCGTTTCGGTAATAACAACAACATCATGCACAACTGTGTCTCTAGTCCAAAACCTTGCTCAAACTACCAGAGAGCTATCAGCTAAAACAAAACAACTCGGGACAACACACAAAAGAACTTCAAAGTAAGGCCGATCATCTCAAGTCATCGACGAGACGAATATGTTATTGTAGCTTCACAACTGGATCAGTTCCTGTTGGTCCTGGCTCGTAGTCTCCGAAAAATCACTGTCTGCTCTAGACTGACTCGTAAAATCATCAGAACTGAGCATGTTAGAGATCATCTCCATGGGTGGTGGAGGTGAACTCCTGCCTGATGGCCTGAAACACAGATAACTATAAGTAAGCACGTCACGGACTATAATATATTCATAAGTACTCAACGTCAGTTTGGCCGAGTGGTCTAAGGCGCCAGACTCAAGTTCTGGTGGAGAAATCCGCGTGGGTTCGAACCCCACAGCTGACATTTGATAGTCAATTCCCATGTTGAGAGAATACAACATCGAGGTAACTTCTTTGACGTACAGGGATTGTGGTGTCGAATCATTATTTTTGGACTCAGCGTCGCTCGCGTCGCTACACTCAAGTTTTTGAACTTCTTCACGGAGCTCTGCAGCACGCTACTATACGCTTTGACTACACATGAGTAAAACCAATGCGTGCTGTACCTTCACAGATGAGAATCCCCACAGAAGACGCGAACTGCGAGGAATCAAGCACGCGGCTCGCACTCGAAACTCTGCACCTGGTCAGGCCGAGGAGACTATCCCTTACCAGTTGTCTGGTTTTCTTGATTTGTATATCCCGCTTCTTTATTCGTTCTTCGAGTTTCCCGTTCGACTCTTCCGCGAATGCTAACGCGTGCTCTACACGTGCTATGCTACTGAGTCTACTATAGAGAAGATCTTGACGTTGAGTCAGCTGAAAGAGTGAACTATGCTACAGTCGCAAATAGCCAGCGATACTTCGTCCGATAGTATTTGTTGAGTCGCGATCAGCTTCTTCCCGAGTTGTTTCTCCTCCTTTAATTTTTCTTTCAATGAGTTGAATCTCTGTAACGAGCTTATCCTCTGCTGATCTTTGGTCTAAAGCCGAGACCATCCTGGAACATACTACTGAGAGAGAAATATACCTCCAAGGCTTCTAGCATGTCGACAAGCACGGCGAACCGCGATCGAAATTTGGCTATATCAGTAGAAGTCACTGGAGGCTCCAAGAGACGAAACAGATGATCGATTGACCCCGCATACATCTCCTTGGATGAACCTGAGTTCGCTGGTCAGTAAGCCAATCTCGGGAGCAGCCGACAGTACGATTCCGCACAACCACCGTACCAGCGTGTTCATTTGAGCCAACTCGTGGACGCGACGCCTTCGAGCCTGAATGACTCAGTTAGTCTCAATCCGTTCGTTATTTTCATGGGCATTACCGCGAGCTCCAACCGATGGCTCTGACCAACTACTTTCTAGTGTCCTTACTCGACCCACAGCTTCACGTACGCAACCAACAGTAGCTATACTGTCCGCCTAATAGAAAGACACATCATTATCCTATTCTTATTGAATCACCGTAAACCACTGAAATAGCGCCTGATATTTGTCATTCAACGGGTTCTCACCTCCTTGGAGTCGACGCCAGACTCCACGAGTGTATTCCTATCGTTAGGCATCATTTTACTACACGACGTGAGAATAACTTTCATGACTAAGAACCGCACCAGTCGATCGGAACCCGACATGAAAGTGGACAGAAACGTTTTCGGGCTGCCGCGCATGTTGTACCGCGAATCGTCAATATACTTCATCTCATTTGCATCTACGCTAACTCCATTTCCCTGCCACTTTCCTTTCGTCGTTTCCGTCAGTTTCTTCATCTTCCAACTCGGCGTTGGACTCACTACCTAGTCCTTTTAAGAGCACGTCCGACTCTCGTCGATATGATAATCCCGCTCAGCTGGCGTCACAAGGCCTTCACTCTCCCACTATCCTTTGCTGCAGCTACTGGCCTCCTATTGGTGCTCCGGTATTGCTACTGCGAGAGCGCTCAAAATCAACACGTTAGAATCATCATCATCACCGAGAATAATCATGTGGCCCTCAGACGTAACATTGGAGTTTCACCCGTTTTACGCGAGGTGGCGTAATACTCAGTGAAAAAAACGATATTCGCGGTGATATGCAGTAGTCGTGGAATATGTATTTCATATTACTAGAGTGAAACTCTATTGTGTATATGTGGCACATATACACAATAGAGTTTCACAATTTCGATGTTCGAAAAATAGGATTGCACATATTATGTGCAATCCCGTTTTTCGAACATCGCTGCTGCAGTCGTAGTTGCCGGTACCCACGGTCCGGTTCTGATCCTTATCAAGTACTTTCTAGCGTCGTGTACTACGCCGGTGAGAAAAAGCTCCTCTTTTCCACGATCACCTCTTTTTATTATACAAACTAGCAAACGTGGACCAAAGTGAGCAGCAAAGATATACCACAGTTTCCAACTGGAAGCGGTGTGAAACAGTCTTCTCATTCGTACCGAGGCTGACCTATGATGAACCCTACAGCTCACAGGCTAGGGACCATCAAGCTCCCTGACAGTCTGTTCTCGGCCACGTTCAGAGGAATGTGGTATGTGCGCACCGGACTTTCGCGAAAATTCATGCGAAGCCGTAAGTCAGTTCGACACCACATGATGCCACAGTGGCACCGCTAACATAATCGGGGCCTTTACTACATTTCTTTCCGTGAATTCTCGAGAGCGAAAAAGTGAATACATCCATCATCCGATCACCTATAGCTACCAGACTGATCTCAGCGATCGCTTACCGCGCCTTACTCGACAGATGTCTCAGTTGCTTCCTCCCGAGAAGGTTATTT